ATAATCCTAGAAACAGCTGAGGCCTAATACGTTCATGAACTTTAGCAGCAAAAACATCTTTACTACCTTTTACTTGTCAATATTATGGTCATAAATTATGAGCAGGGTTTTTTTGGTTAAGTTGTAGGAAATTAGTATTTTATGCACCATATTGTGAATATAGTCACAGCTGAAAGGGATGAATGTGCAACACACATCAAAAGTGGTTTATACCTGTTGCAACTACATTCTTAAGGTCATCAGGTACTTTGTCCACTGGCGGGAGCTTAATGATGTCTGTGAATACTATTTCGTGCTGAAATCCAGATAATAGGCATTTGTTAACCTCATTCAATAAAAACTTGCTTTACAATTGACCACTAATTATTTCCTTTTGTACCTTCACCAAAGTCCAAGACACCACTCGTCCATCAGTGGACACTGAGAAGAAGTTGTGATTGCTGTCCAAATCGTCTTTTTGCCACTTCACCTGTAACAAAAACAATGAACATGCAAAACCTTGAACAGTACATAAAAATCTGTTTTATTTAAAGTACACTTCTATATTTTTTTTTAAAATTGGGGTTTGTAAAAAATATAGCAAATCTTTTTTTATAAGTAAATAGCTAATTATAGACATTACTTCAGCTTTCCATGTTACATTATTCTTCTTTAAAGGATAGTTCACTCAAAACTAAAAATTCTGGCTCACCCCTCACAAACCTGTTTGAGTCTTTGCTCTTTTAAACATATTTTACATACTGAACATATTGAAGATGTTTTGAAAAGTTGTACTATGGATATTTTTTTTTTTATTCTATGGATTTCAATGGTTACCGGTCTTAGGCTTTCTTCAAAATATCTTTGTTTGCGTTCAACTGAAAAAAAAAAGAAAGTCTTGAAACCAAAGGAGACTGAGTAAACTGTGAGTACATTTTCAATTTAGTGTGAACTAAATCATCTTAGGTAAATCATTTTAATATGCTGCTTTGGATCTTAAGAAACATTTCTCATAATAATCGATGTGCAAAAAATGTGAAACTAATTATTTTTCTCCAATTGTTTATCTTAACATTTTATTTGATGAACAGAACATAAAAATCTTACATGCCATAATATTTGACCAGTATTGTACATCTATATTAAGCAATTAAAATATCACAAACAATATAAAAAAAGTAAGCATGTATTTGAGAAGCAAAAAAAAATTTGTTGGGGTGAAATTTCGTAAGTTGTAACTTTTTTTTTTTGCAATATTTTGCTTGAATTTAATTGCATTATCTTTCAATTTCTAAATATGTTTGGTAGCTAAAATGTTATTTAAGAAATATTTAATAAATCCGTTTTGTTTAAATGCACCATAAATACATTGCCAATAATAACTGAGAAATAGATACAAATATTTTTAAAATGGGGTGTTCTCAATCATACTGAGCACTGTATATGAACAATAAATATTTCAAAATATACTTGGCAAAAGTATATCCAAATTTCTTAAAATTTTTGAAGCTGAATTATTTGTATGCATCTTTTTTTTAGTCCGAGTGCTATTACATCTCCATTGCAGTAACTGTAATGAAGGTTTACTGTTATTGCTTTAAGTTAACAATGACACCATGGTCACATCATCACCCATACCTGCCACACAGCTCCTGTGTGTTTGCCAGAGCTGGCTATGCTGTTATACATGGGTTGGTCACTCTTTTTCCTCAGGTCATACACGGACACACAGCCATCATATAATCCCACAGCGACCAGGTAGGACAGCTGTTCATGGATGTCCACACACATTACACCTGAGTCTGTGTTAAAGATGAATTCAGGGAAACTGGGATTCTTTAGGGTGTAAAAGAGAAGCATGCCGCGCTCCTGCTGAGTAAATTCATCTAGAGGGGTAAGATAAAACGCATTTTTAGAATCATTTAACTTACAAATGATTCCATTTATATATATATATATATATATATATATATATATATATATATATATATTTATATATATATATATATATATATATATATATATATATATATATATATATATATATATATATATATATAATACATGGTAAGTTTAGTAATGTTGACAATAAATTTTAAATTCACATAGACAGGTTTATGCCAAAAAGAAAAAAATAAATAAAAATTGTGTAAAAAAATAAATAAATAAAAAAAGCAACTTAATTTTAGAGGATAGGGAGCTGGTTATGGTTAGTTTACAGTATTTATAATTAATTGTGCATGCAAAAAATAGAAGTCTATAAAGAATGCAGATGCAAGTAAATCTCTGTGAGTTTTGTTTAAGTGAATAGGTGTCGGACTGAAAATTTAAAAAAGAGAGTCTGTGTTTGCATGAGATATCTGTAATTTGGAACAAAACAAATCAAGCAAAGCACAGCATACAGATAAGAAATCATGAGTGGCCTGCCAAAATTAATACTTTCAATGCTAGTCAGCCCTGGTTTGGCAGAATAAATAGATAAAAATAAATAAATAAATAAATAAATAGATAAATAAATAAAAAAGGGAGAAGGAATCCTATTATCTGATGCCACCCTGTGCTCCTGGGATAGCTGTGCAGAAACAGACAGTTAAAAAGAAGTACAAACGTTTCTTTCAGAGTAAATATAGTTAACTTACACGACCCAAGACCAACAGCAAACAAATCACTGTATATATGATTCCTAGAAATACACAAGTGTGGTTGCCATTATTTGTTTCTGTTTACTCAACAAAAAAAGTAAATGAATGCATTTTACTGTACTCCAATGTGAGACTCACCAGCAGAGGGCAGTCACAGACAGCCCTTTAGCTTTATCATACTGAAATTTCCACAGTGGGAGAAGAGTCCCCTTCTCTCCTCGAAATTCATCTGCTGCATCCTCAAAGTACATGAAATCTAAGGTTTGGAAGCAAATGTGATTACAAAACTTTTTGACGAATGTTAATCTGTCAAATGAAGAAGAACAAAATATATAATTTGATTAAAATTACCTTGTGCAACTTCATCAAATATATTTTGGTTCACCATACGCTCAATGATCTTGGCAGGCTTAGCTAGCTGGGATATGTCATCACTCTATAAGCACAAGTAGTAGGAACAGCTTTTTTATTTTCTTTTTTGCCAATAACTTTTGTTATTGTTGTTTTTTTCACTTAACCCCCTTTAAACCATTTTTTAACATTCTTTTGTAATTAGGACAATAGTGTATGTAGTTCTTTACAATGTATGTCAAATGATATTTATTTTTTAGCCACCTGAGCCTCTGCTTGGATCATCTTTTTCTTGCTTCTGTCCTCCTCTTTGTTTGGGAACTGGCTTTCTTGTTTCTCTTTGCTTTTCTCTCGCCTCTGAAGTTCCTCTACATAAAAGTCATAGATCTCCCACTGTAGAAAGACCAGGGTTTGCTAACACTGTACATATGTTCAATATAATGAAAGCATAGTGCTGGTTTAGTGCCAAAATTTTAATCAAAATAATTTACAGAAAAAAAGACTAAAATTATCTTACCTGATTGGCTGTAGCTGAGAAGTTTGCACGAGGGGGTGGCTCAGTTTGACAACTTATTTCCTGCAAAACATTATGTTTTATTGAAAAAGAAAATAAAATAATGTGGATAATGCATGAAATGTGCACAAAGCCTACAAAAGCATTCATGCAATCACTGTCAATCAATGTTCATTTTTTAATGAATAATAAATCCATGAGACGTAAAGGTTCAATAATGTAATCCATAGATCTTCTCACTCTTGGAAGGTTGTTTAATGTTTGTGAGGCTCTATCAATGAAGTTAAACTGGTTGGTGACTTTCTGTTCTCTCTTTCCAGGTTTGATTGGCACATTTTCTAGTCTCTCATCTCCACCACAATCTTCCCTTTCAGTATGTTTAGCCATCAGTCTTCGACCTTCATCTGATTCCTTGTGCACAAGATTCCCTTCTAGTTCAAAGTGAATAGCCATCTGATCCACAAAGACAATAGTTTTATAGCAGCCCTCCTGAAAAGACAAATACATTTTAGTGGTTTAAATCATCCTCTTTAAGAAGCATAACTTTAACTTTATAAGCTATAGAGATATATATTTTTTTACTTTGAAACTGTATCTGACAACGTTCTGAGGGGCATTCGGATTGTTTGCTGTTAATACTCTGGTAATCTCTTCCTTCAGCTCCTTTTAAACACAAGAAACAGATATTATATATATATATATATATATATATATATATATATATATATATATATATATATATATATATATATATATATATATAATCATCCCAACATTATTAGATGCAGAGTCAGACCACAGGCTCTATTCAGGTTTACACACTTCTTCAGTTAAGTCCAGCTGGTCTGGAGGCTTCACAAGGGTTTTTCCTTGCATCCATTCTTCTCCGTCAGCTGTGTCTATCCCTTCCTCTTCATCCTACGTGACCAAAAAATGCCTTTTGAAAAATTTGACAAAGAATTTATTCAGAATGAATATGAATAGTCGTGTTGAAGGCTAACGTTACCTTCTTCTTTCCAGTGGTTTTGACACCCTTTACCACAGGAGCCTTTGGCTGGGTGTTAACATTAGGTGACTTAATTGAGAAAATAAATGCATTACAATCATTAAGTAAATCAATATTCGTTAAATTAACATTGGTTAACCAGAAAGCAAAATTTACTAAAACTATAACGTTAACGTTAGGTGCCAAAACGTGTTTGATACTTATAAAAGTTATTCTTTTACGATAGTATTAAATCTGCGTTCGTTATAATGCTATTTACATACCTGTTTACTTTTCACTGTCCCAACTTTATAAGAAACTGACATTTTTTTCCTTTTCAAAAAACGTTAAAGCAACTTTCTTTAAATAACAAGACTGCTCCGCTCTCTGAAACTAGTGTCAGTGTTTGTGCGTTTAGAGGTTGCCATGGCAGCTGCACCCGTCGGACTGGCGAGACATTACTGCGCATGCGCGTAGTTGGAGTCCCTCACCTGCTCCTCCCCTCCCGTTCCTCCTCGCTGCACAATAAATATAAAGCCATGTTTTGTGTTGGAAAAAGTAACTTCTTCTCACGTTGTTTCAATTTAGGTGACCTTGAAGTTTTGTGAAAACAAATTTGCAAGCAAGTACAATAAAATTTGAATAACGATGTTTGTTATTATGGTGTCAAAATTTACGGAAGTAAGAAGGCGCGGCTTTTGTGTCCTTGATAGTGTTGGAAAGTCCGATTCATTTAACAGCGAGTCGGTTCTTTAGAATAGTTCCCAACTATACCTATCAACGTATTCAAACGAGCTGTTCATACCGATATTGATTCATCAAGAAGATTCAACTCAAAGGGCGGTTTATTCAGGTTATTGTTTAACCGAGTCATTCAGTAATATTGTGGTGTAGCGGAGAAACTTATTTGGAGCTAAAATGAAGGATCGTCTGGGCGAATTATCAGCCGTAAGACAACATTGTCTTCTTAATTTATGTAATTTAGACGTAAAACTATTGAGTTCGATTTTTTTACAGATAAAATAACGTTACTTGCTCTCACTGTACAGAATATTTGCATTAATGCTTTTTGGATTAGCCAGCATGTGGTTACTGATAAAACAATGCTTTCTGTTTCATTAAAGCCGTTTATAAATGTCTCAGTGACTGCTTTTTTTTTAACAGTAATTGTTTTGACTAACCTTGGCTTTCCCCGTTCAGCACTACAATGACATCACCATCGATGTTGAGTCTGACGCTTTCCTGGAGAAGTTCCTGCCCAAGGTTTGTGTACTTACACCGTGTTGTTTGAACATCTACTTTATTGCGTAAAACGGTTTCTAATCCACATTGCTCTTACAAAAGAGAAGTATACAGTTACTTTATGTGTAGGCTACTTGAAAGTTCAAGTATAATTTAAGTATACTGTACAGTTTTCAGCACTAGTAATTTACCATTTTAATACTACTTGCTTGGCTCAAAGTTAGCCCAGTGTTTAGCTCATAAAAATATAATGTCAGTCATACTTTAGATGTAGTTGTCAGTTTCATTATTAACTTGTTGCACATTTTAGTTTAATATACTTAGACTATTCTTTTTCAACTAGCGTTGTAGTTTTTATTTTGCAAACAAACTTTAAAATTAAAAGTATAAAAGTCACATAACTTTTAATAGTTATTTATCTTTACTATGTTAAGGTATTGATTTTAGAAGTATAGTTTATGTAGCAGTGTATAAAACCATGTGGAAACAATATTTAGGCTACTCAATCTCATGCAAAATACGTATACATATAACTTCATTAAAAGATTGAGTAAGACCAGCCAGACTTCTGTCAGTGTTATTTTAAGTGTAGTCTAAGTCAGTTTTTTAGACAAGTTTTTTTTTTTTTTAAGTTTTAAAAACTATACTTTCTGTTAAGGTATAACTGAAAAGCAAATAATTTCTATCGTCATGCATGTTACTGTATATGTACAGGTTGATGAAGCTCAAAAACTTATAGAAAGACTTTCTTTCCTTGTGGAAGAAGTGAAGCTGAGACATCGTACCATTTTGACAGAAATCAACCCACAGGCTTGTGAGTATGTTGCACATTTTGTTTTAGCAGTCTTGTCTGCATTAAGCACCAGTGTTACAAATATTTAACAAAAATATAAATTAATTTGAAGAAATTCTAATCCATTAAGCATGAAAGTCATGGAAATAGACTGTTTAAAAGGTGTGAGAAACCTGAATGCATTCAATAATAATAAACAAAGTTGTTTTGTGCAGTCACTTCTCTTTTTCTTTGTTACTCTCTACCATGTTTTTGTCTCACAGATGTGAGAGATGAACTTGAGCTGTTTGGCAATGACATCAAGCAGATAGCAGATGCAATCCAAGTTAAACTAAAAGGTGAGTTAAAATGTATTTATTTATTGTTAGTTTACACTGAATATATACAGGTTCACTCCTAATAGGAGAAGAATCATCATAATTTTTTCAACAGATAGTTTTCTTAGTCTTTTACATTTTTCACTAAAGCCAGTTTTAAACAATGTGGAGGCCAAATTGTTTTAGTGCAATGTATAAACAAACAGGACACAACAAAATTCTAGGTCTAAATCTAATAATAATTTGAATGACAAAATCAAATATTTTGAAATGTAGTCACTCTTACCATTTTCTTTTCTGCATCCTAGCTCACAACCAGTTCTCCTACTGTCAAATGGGCATTTATCTATGCTGTAATATATTAATTCTGCATCTGCATTTACAGTATATTCAAGATTATATTATGTACAGACTTTTCTTTATTAATTTATTGACTTTGCACAGGAAAACGTGGAAAGGATGCACTGTAGTAGTCCAGGGCAGAGTTATAGCCAAGTCCAGCTCTGCAATTGACGAATTTAAGGGAGGATTTGACTTGCAAATAGAGAAGCTTGTCTGTGCCAGTTTGTGGTGGAATTTCATTCCATCTTTTTTTATTTTTAACCCAGGAAATGTGTCTCTAGTAAACTTTCAGCTTTATTCTCTTCAAAAAACATTCTTCTATACCTGGCTTTATATCTGCCTGGAAAAAATAACCTCAACTCATTATTTTTGTCACAACATTTGTCATTAAATCTTTCGTGTTACATTTAAAAGCTTATTGGTTGATTGTTTATGTAGATTTGGAAGAACATTTTTCTAAATATGGGAATGCAAACACAAACAGCAGCTCAGTGTACTGCCGCATACACACTACTCAGGTAAAAATCACCCTCTGCTGTATATATTTAATGCTGTTCTTTAGATGCTTGTTATATTCAATGTTTCTTTCTTTGTCTCTCTGTGTTGTTCTATAGCACACAGTACTTTCACTGAGGTTTGCAGAAATAATGGGTTTGTACAACCAAGAGCTGTTATATTTTCGTGCAAAGAGTAAAGAGCGGATACAAAGGCAGCTGGAGATCAGTGAGTGAGCTAATACGTTTCATAACACATCATCGTAAAATGTCTTTGACCACCACTGCCTATTGTTATTAGTATTTTTTTTTCTGTAATTGAACATTGTACTGTAGAATTGCTGTCATTTTGATTATGGGTTAATGGGAAAGGAACATTTGCAGTTAATTTATTCACCCTCAGGCAGTAGGAGCGGTAGGTGACTATTTTTAATAGATTATTGAAGAACATTTCCTGCTAAACCTTGGTATTCTTGGTGAATTCATAAAACACACACACACACGCGCTAAACAAAATGAATTCTTATAGCTCCTGAGGATACACTTAGGTCTAAAGTGAAAGAAAATGAACGTTATTACCTATCATTACCTTTTATTAGCAGCCTCTGCAAACAGTTCTAAGTGCATTCACTACTGCAGTAAATTAACAGCTAACTTTTATATTTGTGTGAACTAAACTTAAAGTTAACAAAAGCAAATAAAATCATGATTTATATGTACCATATAGTCTCATAATGTAGAATCAAACATGAATTGAAGATCAAGGATATTTCTTTCTATTTAAGGTGGCAATGTAATGACAGAAGAGGAGACAGAGGATTTACTACAAAATAAAAGTCCTGCTGTTTTTACCTCAAATGTAAGTTTCAGTGTTTTCAGAAAACTTAAATTTTTCCCACATAAAGTCCAGTAAGTTTGCTGAAATGTTAAGATATGTTCTTGTGTGTAGATCAGCTCTGGCTCCAGCATCACAGGGCAAGCGTTGAATGAAATTGAGTCACGACACAAGGACATTCGCTGTCTGGAGGCCAGCATTCAAGAGCTGCATAACATGTTTACGGATATCGCCATGCTAGTTAACAGTCAGGTACGACACGCTCGCTGCAGAGTTCAGTGAATAGACAGGAAAAATAGCTTTAATATACAGTTTGTAAGACTATTTTGGTCTATTATCTAATATAAATAAACTAAAAAAAGGGATTAGTTAAAAAAATCAGTAAACCCACTGCCTTAAAATGATTTAGTAAAAGAACTACAGTATGTGCATAATTAAAAAAATTACTTAATGGGTTTACTGACTTTTTAAAAGTACAGTCAATTTGTCACTTTTAAGACAACAGGTTTACTTATGTTTTTAGAGGAGTTAAAAGAAGTTTTTACCTTTTTATTGTGTGATTAAGTGCTTCAAGTATATTATATTCTTTTTTAATTTGGTTAGACAAATGTTGTTTTAGTAATTTAGTGTCTTTTTAATTTTTATACAATTTTGAGATGCATACTCTAAAGCTAATGAAAAGTTTATTGATATTGTGACATAATTGTTCATGAAAGTGCAATGGAAAGATTATACATACTTTAAAGCTATTGTAAAAAGTATTTTTTTTTTAAATTTTATTATTATCAAGACATAAAAAGCTGACATGATAGTGCAATGGGACTTTTGAAATAGCCATCATTAAAAGGTGTTTCCTCTTTTTATTATAGGGGGAAATGGCAAACAACATAGCAAAGACTGTAATGAAAACTGGGAACTATGTAGATCAAGCGAAAGAGAACATCAAACAAGCTACTGAATATAAGAAATCATGGCGGATTAGACTACCTCCCTTGCCTTCATTCAAGCGCAAAGCAAAACCAGTAACCAATGAAGGGCTCTTGAATGAATCTTGAATTTTCAACATTCTACTTTAAGGTGTTGTCTCGGTTTGTGAAAATGATGGATTTGTTAATTTGCCGGTTCATGCTGATCTGTCTATTGGGTTTTCTCTATCCATTTACGAACATACAGTACACTTCTCATTTGCTTCTGCTACTATGTTTAACAATTAAGCTTGCTCTCAGATTTTCTGCAGCATTTTCTGATGTAACATGATGACAAATCAGGTTGTGAGTATCAGTGAATGTTTATATGCACTAATTTTCATTATTTAAAATGAAGCCAGCAAGCATTTTTGTTTAATCAGATATGTCTAACAGCTAGGCCCACATGGAATCTGCGCGCATAGCGTTTCGCAGATTTCTGCAGATTTTTAGCCCATCATTAATTCTGTTTATTTACTTGAGTAAATGTGTAAATCTGAATTTATTCAGTTTTTATTCAGTAATTTATTACTTTTTATTTCATATATTAAGGTTTTAGTTATGATACTCCGCTGGATACTCCCAAAATAATTCCGCAGAAATCCGCAGATTTTTACCAAAATTCTCAGCAGAAATAGCAAAAACGTCCGCAGATTCCATCTGGCACTGCTAACAGCTAAAGCCCAATTCACATTGTGTGATGATTTTTATTTTTTAAATAATCGAAAACGATTGTAGCTTGTCAGACTGGACAAACATAGTCACACTGTAAGATCTCCGTTGACATAATGTCAGACTGAACAACAATAAAGATGCTCCAACACTGGCATGCAAGAAAACTCATGTGTCATGGATGGACAAAGTCAAAATCCACATTTGTTTGTACAAATTGTTAATACCTCACAGCAAATGTAAATAATCTGTAGGGTTACTTTTGTGCACAACATGCTTTAATAATAAAGCCAGAAAAAAAGCTTTGATATTTCATCAGATTCTCCTATTGGTTCTTGGTTTGACGTTTGTCGTAGCTGAAGTTGCACTGCAGAAAATTGCCTCAAATCAGAGGAAAAAAATTATTACAACAGTCATTAAGTCAAATCATTTATCAAAGACCGCATAATTTACCCAGATTTCTTTTAGGACTTCCCAAATTTGTTCCATACTACCAAATCATGGCTGAAATTGCAGTGTGAGCAGGGCTCAACATTAAGGCTAAATTTAAGGTGTTTAACAATAGTACAAAATAGACTAATATTAATGACTGCACATTTGAACTGTCTATTTGATGACTGGTCTATTTTCGGACTGTTATTTGATGTATTTTAGAGAATATTTTTAAATATTAAAAATTGAAAAACTGACCTAGAGAACTGCACTCAAAGAAACTAATGCATCCAGGACATAATACTTAGAATGATAAGTAGCTGGTGCAGGAGTTAACTTAAAAAATTGCTTAAATACATGATGAAACTCCTGTGAAATGAATTTGTAAAAATAATCGAATATAAAATAAAGTGGTATTTATCTAGCTCACAGAACCAACAAGGATGCATTTTACGGCCATTTCACTTAAGAAGAAGTGATGTAAATGTTGTGCGTGGGTATCTGTTTCTCCCATAGTGGAAGAGTTTAGTCTAGTTTTAAACATTTAGAATTAAACATTTATAATAAAAATAATAAAATATATGTTATATATTAAATGTATTTTTTTATATATAAGACAAGAATGGGTGATGTTCAAATGGAAACAACCCATATGAATGAATGTACTGAGACCTTGTTAAGTGCTTTATATTTATATGGCTGACTAAAATGTGGAGCATGTGATTCCCTGAATTTAAATTACATGTAAAATAAAGACGTTATATTGCAATATGTTGTTGTTATGTGTCCATAAAGGATCCAAAGAACATACGATATGAAAGGCAGAATGCAGTATCAGGTTTTGTTTTAGTGTTGGTAACGTCCCGCATTGTCACACACAAATCAACTATATTGTGCTATGCACCAGCAAGTTTGCCAATGCCATTTTGGTCTTTTGATAGTCATTCTGCCTAAATGTAGTGCCATAACTTTCCTTCCTTTATCTTGAAGGGGCATTCATAACCTGAGCTTTCTGACTGATGCCCGTTCTCTAGATGCAGACTATAAACAGACTGCACCATGGGCGCATAACTAGTTAGTTCCACCCAGAGTGTTACACTGGATCTAGGATCCGATCAGACATAAAGGCCAATCAGCCACAAATTTTATTTTAATATTATAGCAAAAACTATATTATATATAAACAGTTGAAGTCAGAATTATTAGCCCCCCTGAATTGTCAGGCCACCTGTTTTATCTTTGCCATGATGACAGTACATAATATTTGAAAAGATATTTTCAAGACACTTCTATACAGCTTACAGTGACATTTAAAGGTTTAACTAGGCAGGTTAGGGTAATTAGGCAAGTTATTGTATAACAGTGGTTTGCGAGAAAAATATAGCTTAAAGGGGCTAATAATTTTGTCCCTAAAATGATGTTAAATAATTCAAAAGTGTTTTTATTCTAGCCGAAATAAAACAAATAAGACTTTCTCCAGAAGAATAAAATATTATCAAACATGCTGTAAAATTTCCTTGCTTTGTTCAACATCATTTATTAAATATTTAAAAAAGAAAATTTTTTGAAGGGGGCTAATAATTTTGACTTCAACTATATATATATATATATATATATATATATATATATATATATATATATATATATATATATATATATATATATATACATACTTTTAGTTTTAAATCATCCTACACTAGTCCATGACTGTGTTTTTGTCTGTTTTTCACCAGAGGGCGCAACAGATCTGTACAAGACAAAGGTGCCTAAACGTTTTCTTTTCCCTTTAACTGTCCGCTCTACCAAGTGGTTGACCATGTTTGGACTGTTTTAAATAATGACTGTTAAAGTAATTAAAAGAATAACTGTTTGAAATAATGGTTTAAACACAGGACATTGTCGGCTCACCAAACAATCAAACAAACAATCCTGTTGCACTACTACTACACTTGATTTTGGTTTTATTGAAAAAAAAACAACAACAAGGAAACGATATTGAATGATATTTTTAACTCCCATAATTTTACCATAAACTGACATTTCAACCATTTGGTAGAGGTTGGTATTTTAGAAATTTTGGCATGTGTTGAAATAAAATGCATTGAGAGTGACAATAGTGACATTAGGAGTTAAGAAATGCAATCCAAACATTTTTTTTTTCCTGGTAGGGTAGTAAAAGGGTTAAGAAGAGCCACTTGATTTGTAGGCTTGTGGGCCAAAGGTAAATAGTTATCATAGGTAAATTCCTAATTTATTTAATAATATTTAAAAATGACTAGAACTATTGCTTTATATGAACTAATACAGTATTTTTGTACATTTTATAATGAACTTATTGCAGTAAAAAACTATCTAATGTATTACAGAATTACACTAGTTTTTGCCTTGATTTGCTTCTGCATAGTCCTCTATCAGTCGAGTGACAGTATTTATGGTTTAAAAACATCTAAATAATTTACAACATTTCATTGAAATATTTTTCTTCTGTTTGCTTTTGTTGTAGCTCAGCAATAAAACAACAAAAAAAGGTTATGTCAAATAAGAAATGATGATCTCTTTGGTACAGTCATTCACCCCAACCCTCCATCATTCTCTCCTCCAGATGGGACGGTGGGCCAAATCAAACGGGCCAACTTTGGCCCGCGGGCACTATATTTGGCATCTCTGCTCTAAAATAACAAACCTGACTGTACTTATATCAACCTCTAAGCACAATAAATGTATATCCAGTATAAGTTAAGTATATACAAAAATGTATGCATAAAATGGACAAAATTGGAAGAAATAGAGACTTAATAAATGTATAAAATCCCATTCCTAAAATATTACATCCACTGTATGGTAAATGAAAAGAACTGGCATTTACATTTGAAAAGCATTGAGGTCAAGCTTTGGCATTTCTTTATAAACATTGCAGAACATATACAAAGCTGTGCAGGAATTAATAAAATAATTGAATATTTACATCTGCAGGCACAAATTATTATAGGATCGAGATTTATTATGACAATTATTAATATAGGCCTATCTGATCTGAGTTTGACAGAAGTTTCATATATTGGCATGGCCCATTATAGTTATATGTAGTTAGTTGAATGTATATATTATTTGCTTATTATTTATTTGCTTATTACCACACCATGACTTTATATTCTATACATCGTTTTTGTTAAGAGACAAGACTTTTGTCTAAGCAAAGACAGACCTTACTGTCCTAATTAAATAATTAAAAATCAAGACATGATCATATTTTATTTTGGTCAAATAAGTGTAATCTAGAGGTCTTTGCCTTTCATATAAACCACTTCCGATACCAAGTGATCAATTAGAAAGTCAAGTTATTGTTTGTTGTTCCTAAAACTTGGATAGGCGACAAGACTTTTGTCAGGTAGTGTACACACTTATTGACAAATAAATGACAAACTTCCAAAACACACTCTGTACAGCCTTAGAATTGAACTTGGCTATAGTTTTAATACCTCAGCACTGCAATATATTAACTTTACTTTTAATTCATTTGTCCACATCAGTTACATTTGCTGTTTTTATTTTCTGCAAGCCTGTAAATGTTGTTCCAAGTAGTTTAATGAAGACACAACACATATCATATTTTGAATTAGACGTTTAATTTGATTGAAAGACAAAACATCAAAGAACAACCCACAAAGTAGAACAGATGACTTTTTTTCCATTTCCTTAAAAATAAAACAAAATATGATTAAAGGACGATCCTTCTCTGTGAGACGGCAAAAGAAGGAAACCAAAAGGCAAAGTAGAGTTTGACAGGGTTCAGGTGTGGATGCTGACATCCCCCCTTTAGACGCTCCACTTCCGATGCTCTGATTTGAACTTTTCCCACTTCAAACCAACATTTACACAATGTATACAACAGCCCACAGAAAGATGAAGGAAGGGAGGATATATAAGCGAGGGATAAAATTACATTTGTACAAAAATAGATTTCTCCTATTATCTTCTAAACATATTTTTAAAAGGTCCTGTGTCTGTGATGACCCTGTGCCAGAGTCAAAGTTGATCTTCACTAGTTTAAAGGGGAGAGAAAGGTGGTTAAGTTTCTTTAGGTCTTTTCACTAAGCAGACATCTGAGGTTTTGTAAATGAAAAAAAAAAAAAAAAAAAAAAAAACGATCGATCGGTCGAGGAGCTGGTGTACTGTCTTGTCTTAGGGCTCTGAACTGCTGGTATCGATCTAAAAATTTTGCTTTTTCAATCTTTTTTTTTTTCAAGGCTGAACACAAAAGCTTCAGCAATTAAAAACATTTCTAGTATCTGAGAATGTAACAGTGCAATTAGGCCTGGTTTTAGTCAATTAAAAAACCTCCTTTACTAACATTGTGTGGAAACATTTAAAGAATGGACTTATATACTTTCATATTTAGAAATATACACACATTTACATATAGACAAAATAGAGCTTTATGTTATAAAGCATTTGTTTATGTATTAATTCTAGTTTTTCATTTCTGCTCCATTTGCTACAGGAGAAAGTTTTTTTCATTTTGAGCACATGAACCTGCACATGGCTTTAAAACACCAGTGATTCATCTGGTGAAGCCAATCAAATTCATTTGCCATGCAAAGAACATGAGGGTAAGAGGACGAAAACTGATTTTCACAAACACAGTCAGAGAGGCATCATCATTAACAGCATTGACTGAAGCTGTTGCAGCTATAAACCATCTCCAATGATCTTAATCATACTACTGCCGAAGAGCCTTGCGAGACTGCACTCAAACACAAACAAACATCCATAATATTTCACGTAAAAGTGCCATTTTTTTCATCCGATTAAATACTTGTACAAAATTCAAGTAAAGTTGCAGTGCTGCATCTCCACCACTAGGTGGAAGTCTCAGCTCTCCCACTGCCTCAGTACTGCTCCACTCTCCCATTATCTCTCTAACGGCTGCTGGATGCCTCAAACTTGGTCCTGGTGGTCTAAACTTGATCAAATATGGTCTTTATATTTTACTGCCAGAGTTAAACAAACAAACAAAAAAAACACAACCTCACAATGGACAGTCTTTGGGAAAAAAATGCTAAATGCATAGTTCAGCAGCAGCAGCAGCAAACAGAGAGAAAAAATGCTGAAGATGGCAAATTACACACTCGAAAACAGATGACAGCTTTAAAAAAGGCCCCAAAATCTCTCAATATAACACAACAGTGGGACTTGAAACATGAGGATAAGTGCTTAGAAACATCCTAATGATAATGCACACTTGCGAGACTTGACTGCATGACACGGCTTGTGCGAACAGGAGTGAACACGGGGACACATTTAACAGCAAAAGTGACTGAAAGAGAGGTAACGGCACACGTTTGGAAAAAAAAAATCATCAAAAAAAAAAAGGATACCAATACTGAATTGGTTGTAATAAACTGTACAAGTGTCGCGCTCGCATGAAAAACCACTTGAGGTGAATTGGTATACAGACGAGTCGCACAGTGGAACAGTTGCAGGTGGCTTACAGATGGCTGGATGTCCACTAGAAGACTCCTTAGTTCACGTTTCAGCATCATGGGCTCATTAAGAACAGGCAGATTGGATTTGTAAAAGCTGATGAAAAACTGTAAATGATCATAATCCAAACCTCCGACAGCGACCTCAGACGTCCTGATGTTCTGATCCTGAAGTTACGTCCATATTGTGTCTCCAAGCCACCGCTGATGATGATGATGAGTTGGGAGAATCAGCACGGTTGTTCGTAATTACAGGAACATTCTATCAGGAACAGCTCACTTGAGGTGGAGGGGGAGAAATGGTAATTGCAGCAGGATTGTAATCGCAAAAAGTCCCATCAAGGGCTGAAAACTCAATGTTTGTGTACGAAACCCGAATCATTACCCGCATTATCATCTCCCAATAAGTCTTTATGCGCTCAGACATGCCAGCCCAGCCTTAATCCTGAATGCAAGACTAGTAAAGTCAGCCCATCCGTCAGCCACATGAGGCCGATTACAGCTCTGGATCCCTCCCACAAGACCCATTATATCCCAACGTACAACACTCCTGCAATTACTGGATCCAACAAATCTATTCTTTTTTATTTGTATTTTTTTATACCCATTGAAGGACAGTTTGATACACCCGTGTTGTTCACTTGTCTGGGCGCTTGAAGTCTGTTGTCATCTTTTTTTAATGTGTTTTATATATATTTTATATATATTTATATCTTTATACAAAGTACAAACAGACCCATGGACGCCATGACTGTATTGGAAATGCTGAGTTGAGTGGCAGTTCTGAACGTCTCTCTGCTCTGGCAAATGGTGTCAGAAAGGATCTTTGCGGTGGCAGACCCTTGTTTCCCCGTCCCGGAGACAGGAGGTCGTTGTGTCATTATGTCATTTGGTGTGGAGCTTCTAGCATCTCCATGAGGAAGGTGTCGATGGGTGTGTCGCCTATGAGCTTGAAGAAGAACAGATGCTCCAAACACTTGAGTCCGATAGAGCGCAGTGCAGGGAGCCGCAGCAACAGCTTAGCAAACCTGCACACAACATCACAAAATCAAGTCACATCTACAGCTAAACCCATCGCTCTTGATATGGCTCTCAGACAACCTTTGAAGTCAGGCATGACCAGAGACGTGTGAAGCTATGAATTTTCCTTTTCCTTTCTTCTTTTTTAAAAAATGAAACATCTTTTTGATCTTATCTCAAATATAATCACCGGCCACTTTATTAGGTACATGTTTAACTCCATGTTAGTGCAAATATATACAGCACATCAATCAAGCAGTGACAGCAGCTCTTTACATTTAGCCATGTATAGTAGATACAGTGTGATAAAGTTTAAACCAACCATTATAATGAGGAAGAAATTTCTTTTAAGAGACTTTAGTATCCAGTGTTGCCAGGTATAGTGGACTTTTTCTAGTCCAAAAGCTGTACAAGTCCTGCTCAAAAACCCCCCCGCCCAAAATAATAGAATATTATTTATTTAAATTTAATCGATTTAAATCGAAATTAACCTACAGTAGTTACTTTAACTGACATAATTTTAAATTTTTTACAGCAACCAACATCAGCAGTCACCGAACCACGACATAACTGGATCACATCGAAACCCCCCTCTCACCCACACACACTGCACTTACTGTTGTGTGATTACACTACCTATTAGAGTATGTTTTACTTTTGAAACGGGGTATAAATACATCCCAGTTGGCGTTTCAAATTCTTTTGAACATAATAAGGTGCTGCTTGTTAATTAAGCAATGCTTCTATTTTTGTCTTGCTGTCAATTGTGGGGAAAAAAAATTATCAATAAAAGTGTCATCATAAGCCAGTGTGAGTTTAACTACAGGCACTGTGTCATGCGTGTGCGTAAGAAGGGGACTCAGAATGAGTCAGATTTGCCCGGGGAGTTAGATTTTGATACAACTTTCCTTCACCTCCTCTGGCAAATGGGCCCACGCGGTTTGCACTTTGCACCGGTCACTACTAAATGAATGGAGCAGGAGCATATAGTTATGTTTTATTAGATAAGCTGCATAAAAAATTAAGTTTCAAAATGTTTAAACCCGCCAATACCATTTTTTACCCGCAATATAAATTTCAAAACCACCCAACTGTGCGGGAAATCACCCAATCTGGCAACACTCGCTGTCTCCAAAATAGCCCACTATCCCCTTATTCACTATTCCGTATTCCACTAATACAGTCCACTTGAAAAAGTAAATGAAACTGAGTGATTGAATTGGAGCACTGAGTTTTGTTTGTGCTTTGCTTAGTGATGAATCCCTCAGATGGATTAGATTATTACGTCTTGACCAGACCCTGTGGTAAATATGCAACACTTTGCAAACTGTATATTAGTAATCAAACAACGTATTTTAATTTCTGTCATGCATACAAATGTAACCCTAACAATTAAATAATCATTTAATTAGAAAATCACATAGGATTCTGCTGCAGATGCCATCTTTTGGTCAGAAACAGAAATGCATTCATTGTGTGAATTCACTGTGCATTATGGGTATTTTCTAGATGTTCAGTTTACACTCATTGTGTTGAACTTTGGGATTGACTGAGAGCACTTCAGAACTTCCACTATGGTTTCAGATCCCACTATAAATGGCTGCTCCTACAATTAGTGGTTAAATAATATCTGAGGTTTTATAGGGCGATTTCGGATACAGCCTTTGGATTTGGCTTGGGTGAGTATTTTAGAAGCTGATGATCTACTAAGATTTTAGTAAAAAAAAAATTGGAAATGCCTAGTGAGCACTGAGCAGGCAGGGAAAACAAACTCATTCATTCATTTTCCTCTGGTTTAGTTCCTTATTTATCAGGGGTAGCCACAGCGGAATGAACCGCCAACTACTCTAGGATATGTTTTACAAAGCGGATGCCCTTCCAGCAGCAACACAGTATTGGGAAACACCCATACAATCTCTCTCTCTCTCTCTCTCTCTCACACACACACACACACACACACACACACACACACACACACACACACACACACTTCTGTCAATTAATCTCATCCAATTCACCTATACACATGTCTTTCAACTGTGGTGGAAACCATGGTTCAGACTGCTGGTCACTTAAATGTGTGGGGAATATTTTTGACACATTGGCCTCCTTAATACTAACTGACCATTGTTGCATGTTGTTGCTTACCACATCAATCCCTTTATGACCACAGTGTGCCCCTCTTACAGTATGACGGCTACTTCCAGCAGAATAACACATCATGTCACGAAGCTTAAACCCTCTCAAACTGACTTCCTTAGTATGACAGTTCACCAACTTAATTAGCCTCTGCAGTCACTAGATTTCAATCCAATAGGAGACCTTTGGAATGTGGTGAAACTGGCGATTTGCATCATGTATGTGCATTTAACAAATCTGCAGCAATTACATTTTTAACATGTCAAGAAGCCAAATGTGTATGTAATCTTACCAGCAGCTTGCTGAGTATAAGCTAAAAGGCCTACGGCAGTTTGTTCAAAACTTTAAAGTATTGTCAAGAGGTATCTAATTAAGTGGACAGTGAATGAACTAACATATACTGACATTCACTGACAAAAAAACTAACAAATAACTGAAACAATGTAAGAAAATTGTCAATAGGGGCCTGTGAAAGTACAAAAGCCTAGAACTGAAATGTGCTGTCATTTTGCAATCAGGTCATTACTGCAGTGGTGTAAAAACACTGGGAGTGGTTTTCGTACCTTCCAGGTTGTTCAGGGTACTTATGTTTGCAGTAAGCTTCCAGAGAGGCATAGACCTTCTCTCTCAGTGCTTCCACTTCACCAGGGTTTGACAGGCCTTTGGAGTCTGAAACAGCAGAAGATGCATAACAGAATTAAGTTTTAGAGTAGGAACTGTACCATCCTGCTCCAGCACATCCTCGGGGCAGACAAAGTCCCAACAGAACAAGAACTGTTAATAAAACCCTAGCAATGTTCAAAAAAACACTGAACTGTTCTAAACAAGCAACGGTTCTTGATTCTCAACACTAATCCTCTCTCATCTCAATCTGCTAACTTTGCAAGAGGCTTCTGAGAGCCTCTAATTGGGGAAAATGAGAGTAGTCTGTTTTCCCTCACTGTCTGTAATGTGAAGGGAACAGAAGAGAGGTCTGTCCTCTGAGAAAGAGCTGGACTCTTCCTCATTAATGAATGGGACACGCTTTGTGCCAGTGATTGGGGGTACATTTACTCTGGGGTACAAAGGCCAGTGTTCAGAAAAACCTAAAACATTGTAAAGAGATTGTGAGGGGGAATTGTTAGATGGAGAGAGAGGAAATGGGATCAAAAATCATTGCAGACTTGGACACTATTTGGACGCTGTTTATACTTGCTTAAAAAAAACTAATTTCAACAGCATATGTTATGTTCACTTAAAGGTATGTGATGGAAGTTGTGATAGTGTTTTTTGCCTATTGTCACATATATCTGAGTGAAATGACTTCTCAAACAAGACAAACACAACATCAGAGATATATGCAGTTTAAAGTAGGAGAAAAAAATGTGCATATTTTTTTTTAAAGTTGGGGATTAGAGCTTGGTTTTCTGCTTTTGTGTAATTATAATTTTATAAAATGCTGTAATTTTAATGATTTATGTGTATTGTATGGATGACAACATTTGTTTGGTTTGTGCATACTGAGATTTTGTAAGTATGTGTGTAGTAGTGTTTTTTTTATATTGAAAATAAATAAAGCATCAAAATATATGTTTTATAATAATTGAATAAAATGAATCATTTTCAAAAGTCAGCGTACATTTTTGTATACAGAAAAATAATAAAACTCGGCATAAATACAACAGCAGTAGCCTTATGTAAACAAGCTATACTGTTTAAATACTTAAAATAAAATTAAAAAAGTAGTTAACAAAATATGATAACAAAATGTATATCATAAAAAGTGTATAAAAACAACAAAAACACATATACTGTATACATTTACCGGCCATTTTATTAGGTACACCTGACCAACTGCTTGGTAACACAAATTTTTAATTAGCCACGTTTAATCAATCACATGGCAGCAACTCAATGCATTTAGGTCAAGACGATATGCGGCAGATCAAACCAAGTATCAGAATAGGGAAGAAAGGTGATTTAAGTGACTTTGAACGTGGTATGGTTGCAGGTGCCAGACGGGCTGGTCTGAGTATTTCAGAAACTGTTGATCTACTGGGATTTTCACGCACAACCATCTCCAGGGTTTACAGAGAATGGTCAGAAAAAGAGAAAATATCCAGTGTGCGTCAGTTCTGTGGGTGCAAATGTCTTGTTGAAAGGCAACAGTAACTCAAATAGCTACTCATTATAACTGAGGTATGCAGAAGTGCATCTCTGAATGCACAACACATCCAATTGAGGCAGATTGGCTACAGCAGCAGAAGACCACACTGGGTGCCACTCCTGTCAAACAAGAACAGGGAACTGAGGCAACAATTCGCACAGGCTCCCCAAAATTGGACAAAAGAAGATTGGAAAAACGTTGCCTGGTCTGATAAGTCTCGATTTCTGCTGCGACTTTCGGATGGTAGGGTCAGAATTTAGCATCAACAACATAAAAGCATGGATCCATCCTGCCTTGTATTAACAGTTCAGGCTGCTGGTGGTGGTGTAATAGTGTAGTGGATTTTTTCTTGGCACACTTTGCGCCCATTAATACCATTTGAGCATCATGTCAACGGCGCAGCCTATCTGAGTATTGTTTCAGACCACGTCCATCCTATTATGACCACAGTTTAGGCAAGACTACTTCCAGCATGATAAAATGCCGTGTCATAAAGCGAGAATCATCTCAGACTGGTTTCTTGAGCATGACAATGAGTTCACTGTACTCAAATGGCCTCCACAGTCACCAGCTCTCAATCCAATAGAGCACCTTTGGGATGTGGTGAAACAGGAGATTTGCATCTTGGATGTGCAGCCGACAAATCTGCAGCCACTGTGTGATGCTATCATGTCAATATGGACCAAATTCTCAGAGCAATATTTCCAGTAACTTGTTGAATCTATACCATGAAGGATTAAGCAGTTCTGAAGGCAAAAGTTTGCAGTAAAGTCTAATAAATATCGAATAAAGTGGCCGGTGAGTGTATTGGTTGCAAGACATAAAGCCACAATTACTTTTTGATTTTTGTAATAAAAAGCTTCCATTAAAAAAGAAAATACACAAGTGTTACCTGGGTTAAATAGTACAATGGCTCGAAGACATCCAAGCTCTGTTTTATCCATCTGCATGTCTCTCATCTTTGATACCAACTCCGTCAGCACTCTAAATATAAGAGAAAACACAGAGGTAAAGACAAAAGAGCCACAATAGATCTTTATAAATGAAACACACACTCCTAACACAATCAGCTGTCGAGAAAGTGGCAAGAAATTACTCCATTCAGGCTTTGATGTGCATCGACTGTCAAATATCAATAAAACATCTCCACTGGCATCACTTCCTCTGATCTAGAGGGTAACATCGCCTCTGACTGTGTTGACCTCTGCATGACAGGGTGACGACATACACACACGCAACATGGTTCCCACTCTTAACGCACAGTAATTGAATTGGCCTGCTGGAACAATAATAGGAGGGGTGTGGAACTTCAGCTCAGTGTTTAAGTCCACCATCCACTTCATTTGTAGCGTGGCTGTCACTTATAGAAGATCTGATAAAGAAACATTATCAGTGCAGTGCATCTTAATGCGAGCGGCATTAACACTGAGGCTCATTCTTTCATGCTGCGTATTCTAATCGCTGAAGCCTTCGGGCAGTGAGAGTCGAGTGGAGACTTGATTCTGAACCATAAAGCTGTAGGTTTAAGTGAATCAGGTGACACTGCTGCCAGGAAGGGCAATGCCCCAATTAAACTTAATATCGTTTTTACACTCAGTTGTGACTTTCTTAATCAGGAATTCTGTCTTGTTTTTTTGTGCAATTATTTTGGAGAGTTCATCTTAAAATTCTAATTTTATTTTTTATTCAGTTTCTTTTATTCTGCAGAAAGTAATAAAAGAAATAATTTTTTTTTAAATCCTAGCATTTTAAAAATTATTTATTTTCTCTTGAGCAAACCTAAATACATAGGATATTGTCAGCTTTTGAACACACCATGTTAAGCATACATTTAAAAATAGTTCTAAAAAGATATTTAAATAAAAGACTGACTAAATAGTAGATATCTACTTTTTAAAATATCTGTAAATTATTTTAAAAGATACACACATATACTAGTATCTTGCATATTTTAAATATATTTTATATCTGCACATTTTAAAAATCTACAAAATGTATTATCCAAACATTTGACATTACATTCAAACTTTTTAAAGCTTTTGAAGTTATTCTATATTTTTAAAAACATTTCCTAATGAGAAATTGCATTATATTGCCTTTAGTTTTTACAATACTTTTTAGGGATGGGCTAGTTGCACAAGATGGCACCGGTAAGCTTACAACGCGCAAGTGTGCAATTTTACTTCCAGTTGTATAAAACTATGAAGGAAGAGGTGAACATTTCTCATTTTCATTACCAAAAATGGGCATGTTTAAAATAAAATAAAAAATATTTTATCAGCGACAGGTGAGAACATTCTTACCACATTACTGCATACCTCAGTGCACTTTTGCTTCCATTTTTCCCTGTTGGTGCTAAAGTTGGTGCTCAGTGCTTTATAGTGGTTGTTTCTCTGCAATGCGTTCTAATTATTATTTATTCTTATTAAAAAGAAGTTCCACATAAATAAGATCATGCTGAGGTGATTTTATTTCACTTCTGCATAAAACACAATCTTAGGCAATTTCTCTCAATATCAGTTGAGTCTTTGTTTTGCCTCTCCTCTCAACAGAGATAGCAGTCAAGAGCACAAGCTCTCAATATACACTCACACTTTACAACATACATACATATGAGATGTAAAGTATATCACAGATTGCAAATAGTAATATAGTAATGATTTGATTTTTTTTTTTATTTTAAACATGCTCATTTTGGTAACGAAAATGAGAAATCTTCTCTTCCTTCATAGTTCTAGCCAATTGGTAGTAAATGCATACACGCTTAAGTCTCGAAGCTTACGGGCACCATCTTGTGCAACTAGCCCATGCTATTCTTCAATGATTCATTCGTGTTAAGTCTTCTTCAAAACACTTGACAACCACCCTGGCTCTCTTTAACCCTTTTTTTGATTAAGATCTGGACAAAGAAAATAAAAATGTTGGCAGCTTTATTGCACATTGTTCTAGCTTGTGTGGGCACAGATACAGTGTGAAGCCTTCGGCGACATTAGCTGTATCAGCCATATTTTCTGATTCCATCATAAATGACACACAAATGGATTTCCTTTAACATTTTCTGTCTGAACACCCGACCATTTCTGCATGACCTCTGTTTCCAGCACGACTGCATATTTAATGAATATTGATGTAAATCGATAGAACACTCGCTCCTCCCTGTCTTTCTGTCTCAGAGTTGGGCTGGCAGAAATGTCAAGGTTCCTCTTCTGCCCTTGAAATGCCCATGAAAATCTTCCATTTTGTATAAGCCTCCAAATTATGTTGTACATTTTACATAGAAAGTGTATCAAAACACATTTTATACATTTATGATTTAAAAAAAATATGTTTTAAATAAATTTTTATATTTGTATGAATGAAATCATTTAGATCAAAAACAAGCTATGCAAATTTGTTGACTGCATCAAATTACATTTGGAAGTGATTTTATATAAAAAGAAAGCATGTTAAAGTCAAGTTAAGTTTCTACATTAGTATTTCAAATTACTTTTGCAAAATTACAGTGCCAAATGATGGGTTAAATGAGGTTTCATCAATATTACCTATTAGACATTTAGAAATGAAACAACAAACTTCCTTTGTATTATTTTTACTTTACCTGAAGTAATTAAAACATATCAACGAAAAAAGGTTATAACAAAACGCTTTATTGAATTTTAAACTATTAAAATATAGTTGATTAAAAAATAAATATATCCTATTAATTTAATAAATATTGACAAAATATAGATAACATACACACAATGTTTTTTTTTTATTATAGTAAATTTTTTTTCAAATGATTATTCTTATAATTTAGGTTAAACCAAACTATTGATATATTGAATAAAAACTTCTTTCAGTAAATCATGGTAAAAATGTGTGAAAAATATGGTTGATGCATGAAACCCTTTATTGTCTCTGACAATAAACACCTAAGTATTTAATTATTATTATTTTATTAATATTATTATAATTATTATAATAATAATAATTATTATTATAAAAACATAATATATTATGTTATATTATATAATTATTAAACATTATTTAAAGAGTTCACATTTAGCTGGTGATTGATTATAAAGTGTGTCTGGCATGTTGTCCCGGGAGAGAGCCCTGAGCTCATAAGATCCTCAAGCCTGGGGCTCCCTCCCATTGCAGGGCAAGAGGGGAGTTGAAGCTCAGGTGGATCTCAAAAACTCCCCTGCTTTTGTAGCTAATGAACAAATAGGGATTCCTTTGAAGAGATAACTACTTACTAGTAGCACGTCTATGGTGCCGATTTGGATTAGTAAATTAACTTAAGTTGCATGTTTTTGGACGGTGGGAAGAAACCGGGGGCCCCGGGGGAAACCCTCGCGAGCACAGGGAGAACATGTAAAGTCCAAACAGAAATGTGCCTGGCTTGGTAAGGACTAGAACCAGTGAAGTTTCTTGCTGTGAGGCATCAGTGTTAACCACAGGGCCACTGTACCACCCATCTAGGAAAGAAAGGCGGGATTTTTAAAAACAAGAAGGCTGTAGAATGGAACATATTATTATTTATAATTAGCTATTTATGGTGACTTAGGAATCATCTGATTGGTGAATCATGAATTGGCTAATGCAGGACCAGCTGTGTACAATCGTGTTATCCTCTCAAAATTAGTTTAGTAATAAACTTCACATATGTACATCCCTTAAACGTTTCAGTCAAACTGAAATAGATTGGTGCCCCAAATTTCCTCATACCAAAATTTGTAAAAAAAGAAAAAAAGAATAAAAAAAAAAGTTCACACCTGTCAAATATGGCTCCTACTCCGGCACTGTGGGCGCTGTTTCGGTGCACATGTAATCCTGTGGCCAACAGTATTCCATCTTTCACTGCTATGGATCGGTGCGAAAATGACGCAATGAGGAGCTCATTCCATCCTGAAAGAGACGGACAAAATCACCATACCTCATTGCACACAGTGAGGGGGAATTAAGCAAGCATGTGAGTGACAGGGCTCCTTTAACTAGTCTGCCTAGCAACTACCCCTCATTTCCCCAGAGTTGAGCTTGAGAAAAACTGAGATGCTTTCATCTGTGAGACAGCAGAACTAAAGTGGTTATTTATAGAAAACCTGAGAGCTCGCCGAGAAGGCCCTCTCCAAATGCTCTTCAGCTTCTTCTGAGAACATCAGAACGATTCGCTAATACAATGAGCCATGCAGGAAATTAAAAGCAAAATTGTTTGTTTGTAAAATGCTGGTCTACAGAGCATCTTTCTTTCTGAGTCATACTTGGTCAACTTCTAAGAAACTCACTTATAAATCTGACCTTGTAAATATAAACTGTTGTGTCAGAACTTTCTTTTCTAGTGTGTTTCTGTAACTAGTAAGGACACAACGCTCCTTATAATAGTGACCATGCATGGACACTATATTTTACATTCTTAAGTCCACATCCTCATCCCACACCAGTGTGGGCATGGGCCGGTATTTGATTCTGACGGTAGGATAGGCTTGGATAGAAATATCACAGTTTCACGATATTGTGATTACTGCTCTAAAATAAGTTCTTTTTAAATGTCTGGGTAAAAAAAACTAAAACTTTTTCCCTTTTGAACACAATATATTTTATTTTGAGAAACATTTTAAATATTTTGGAGCAGTAAACATGTCAGACTAAATGATTCAAATCAATCACTGACTTCTGCTGTCTTCATTAGTTTAAAAAAAGATTTCTTTACAATTTAAAACGGCATCTTTTGATACCTTTTCTGATGGAGATACTGTTGTCCTAAAAAAACTAAAAATAATAAAAATAAAAAAATAAATAATAATAATAATAATAAACAATAAATGTTGGTGGTTTTAAAATCTTGACTTTTCCGAACCACAGTATACCTTGAAAATGATTATTGTCCCATGTCTACAGCAGTCATGTTAATCACTTAAACAAACAATATGTCAAAACCATATAAATTTCCAATAAGTGAGCTGGGGTTTTAGGGATAACTGTATTCACAGGCAAAACATTAAGGGTGCTTTCACACTAGCACTTTTGGCCGGCACCTGAGTTTGTTAGACATCAGGTTCTGTACGTTAAGCTAGTGTGAAAGTTGTCTTCTGAACTCGGGTGCGCATCCGTGAACTGTACCCAAGTCTGCCTGAAAGAGGTGGTCTGGTGGGCATTCGAACTTATGTACGGTCCAGGCAACTGAACCAAGTGTGAAAGCACCATAAGAAGCCATAAAACTGTTTGTGTGTATTACGCACCATTTGATTAACAAATAAGGTTATATTAGCAAATAAGTTAAATAAATGCAAAAACATAAATCTTCAGAAGCTCAGAACTTGTGACATATCTGTTTTTATAAGTAAATAATTTAGGTAAGGATGCCCCAAAATTGTATTTCTGTTTTCGTTCGAAAGTGGAAAATGAGTTATTAATAATAATTAGCCAAACAAAGGGCTATGCTACACCACTACGCAATGCTACAGTGTTCAGTGCGCTGGTTTTACTCCAGCGCTAGTCACTACATAGTCTCAAGTGGCTTTCGCACTGGATGTGAAAAGTTCACTGTCAACTAGCTGGCAAGTGTGCCACAGTCACAGTTCAAAATTGCTCAACAATCCATCAACCCATTTGCTGGTAAAATGGCACATCTTGACTCACTGTCGATAAAATGCTACAGGTAATAAAAAATGGTTATTATTATATTAACTGTATTTTAAATTAGCACATTTAAGTAGTTTTAATGGAAAGTCCTTTAAAATTACTTTATAATATTTAATAAAATAATAAATAATTATTACAAAGTATTTGCAGTTTTGGTTTTTGCCAAGTGCATCAACAATTTCTGATTTAGGTTTTGGCCCAAAATATTTATTGCAGTGCATACAGTAACTACATTTTGTTCATATACACTTTTAGAACCTAGAAGCTCTTTGTAAGGACAATCTTTATTTTCTTGCAATTATAAATTTATTTCGGAGTGACATTAAATAGGGAGATTTGTGCATTATAGAGTTCAAATATACATGTGAATTAGAGCTGAACAATGTTGGAAAAATCTGACATTGCAATATTTAGTTTTTTTGCGATATATATATTGTATGAATACAATTTCAACAGATTGCAAGCAAGACTAATTACAATCTAGCAACAAAAATAAATGGTTTCCGGGGAGTACAAAAATTGAATGAAGTGTAAAATAAAACTGTATAGAATTTATCGAAGTAATTCAGCAAAATGATTCTTCATTGACGTTACAAATGTTGTATATTTTTGAGCACAAATGCTTTAAACGCTCTTGAAATGTGTTTAAAATGCATACAAATGATAAAGTTTCCCTCTGTTATGGTTATACTATTCTAAATTGTTGATCAACTTTAAACCCAACTCAACAATGCATATCCTGTGATGTGACTATTTCAGACACACATACTTTGATACAGATACTGAAACCATATAATGTGCAGCCCTAATGTGAAACTTAGCATTTTCTAGGTTTTGAAATACCTTAAATAATAATAATAGCTGCATTACTTTAATATCAACACTCCTGCTTCCGAGTTTTACATATAAATGAACTGGTCCTGTTTCTAGCTGAGCAGGCTGTCTTATAGGAGTGCATCTGTCTGTTTGTGCTCTTAAACTCACCTGCTCGTAGTAGAATGACCTGGTCGTCAAGCGGGAGCTCAGAAAAGTGTGGAATCCTCTTCGCCCACTCCACCAGAGTAAAGAGCTGCTTGTCTGCAGCCTGACAAATGTTGGTGACTGGATCGTTGGGCTGTTGAAGAAAACAAGAACACAGCTGTTATACATGCTCTCAGTCCAAACATCTAGCAAGTCTGAACACAGTGTTGTTTTGTAATGTGTAAGAGAACAGTCCAAGTGCACACTATAATAACTTGTGGCTTTCACTCCGGGCAGTTACAGAAACTCTGTTATTAGACCTCATCATCAGGTTGGCTCCCAATGAAAACTAAATTCCTAATTAATTTAGACCTCTAAAATAGTATTCATAGAACTAAAACTATTCCCAGTCCTTACTATGTGAACACACCTAAATCTGGGTACTAGTTTTAGGAAGTTTGTAAGATTTCCCGAGGAGCAAAAGCACCCTGTAGTCAGCTTTAGCATAATTTGCTTTTGTCTCCATTGAGTTTTGCGTTCGGGTCAACTTCTAGGCCATGGTTAGTTAAAGTTTACTAAACTGTTGACAAGTTTATAACTGGCTGAATTATAACCCAGAGAAAGACATCTGAGAGCAACCTTATCACCATCTTGAACACTTGAGGTTTGATTAGCCCCACACAAAAGCGAACAGGAAGGCAAAACAAACAGTGTTTTTGCCCCGGCCTGTCGAGGAAATACCTGCAGAGCTCTGGTGCTAAAAAATGACTCTTTTCCAAGCAGGCGTTTCCTGCAGGAAGCTCCCTAGAATGAATTTCACTTTGACATATTTGCTCGTTTCCAAACATTTACAGAATAGCGCTAAACATTTAAAGGAGCCAGAGAAGGACGTGTAATTAACTGTCAGACAATGTGTTGTGTTCAAAGCACGGATGCATTGTTCTTGGAAATGCTTTTGTGTGGAACGTCACATGAGGGGGAGAGTGTGCTTTAAACAGCTCCTGGAGATGTGAGTCTATTAGCATGTCTCAATGCGTAATGCTCCGACTCCATCAAAGAGACAGGACAAATGAGAGAAAACTGATAAATGGCCTGGATGATTCCAGCTTCACGTTGTGTGACGCCAGGGGATGGACAGATATGCAGCTTTGTTTTATTAGATGAAAGAGCGAGTCTGTGGAGTTCAGGAGAGAGAGGGAGAATGAACTCAGGGAAGCAGCAGGAGTAGGTTTTATGAAAGGATGAGGACAAATAGACACTGAGAACTGTTTTTCAACTTGAGTGTCAAAAAGGAGAATTATTAGAAAACATCAACAGTTCATTGCTATGGGTGAAAGGACAAATAGTTTTTAAGAAAACAAACAGAGGGGGAGAACAATCTAATTCGTATTTATCGAAATTATGGGTGGGAGGGGGTGTGCATTCCTGGAAAATCTTGACCTCACTTTGGCAGCCTGCTGGATTCATTTGGTGCAATGCAGGATGTTTATTAATAGGTTTGACACAATGACACCAAAATTATGAGTCAAGATCTTTGGAGATGGTCAATATTTCAGCCACAGTCACTGAAGCAGTCCCATATAACAGTCCATTAAGTAACAAATTCACTCAGTTAACACTTATAATACTTTGGAGGCTGGAAAGATAAGCATATTTAAAAATACACCTTTCACCATCACCCCCCTAAAAAATTATAATGATTTAAAAATCTAAAAATATAATGATTAAAAAAAAAAAAATCATCCGGTCATTTCAGATATTATTTAACAACATATTTAACAACAAACTTGCCAATTTACTACATGCCAATTTGTACATAACAGCTGCACATATAACATTGTATATAGCAATATACCTGTACACTTGTCAATTTGCATATTTGCATTCACTACTTACTTCTATTTTTTAATATATCTATTATCTGTTTTTTGTCCTGTCTCTGTAATTCTGTTGCACTGTAGAAGTCACGAAAACAAATGTATGTGTGAACATACCTGGCAATAAAGCTCTTTCTGATTCTGATATGGCTGTGGATAACATTAGATGTCAGAAATACATATAAACTTAAAAATATATAAAGATATTTCAGTGTCAAAACACTTACTTACATCTAATACACTTAATTACTTCATTTATTATTTTCCACAATATGCTGTAAATTGCTTTGGATAAAGGTGACTGCTAAATTAATATATGCAGTTATGTACATGTTTTATAAATTTGGGCTACACATTTTATCAGTTTTGGGTAAGTTACTTTAAAAACGTAATAGGTTACAAATTACCAACTACTACAGGAAAATTGTAATCTGATTACACTACTAATGTAATGTACAATGTAATCAGATTACTACTTAATTTACTTTGAAGTTACTTTTAAAACATAGAAAAAAGTATACCTATAAAAATACAAAATAAACAGCAGCTCTTTCAGTAATTTAATATTCACTGAAAAACATTACAATAGGTTGATCACAACAGCTTGACATATTCAAAAAATAAAAAAAAAAACTCACCCAAAACCAAAATTCTATAATTTTATAAATAATCACTATCATTCACTTGTTCCAAACCTGTTTGTTTTTTTTTTAACATAAAAGAAGACATGAAGAAAACTGGATACATGTAACCACTGACATCCATAGCATGAAAAAGCACTGCAGTGTTTGGGTGTTTGGCTGAGGTAATTAGTCTACTGAAATGTGTATATGCCATGCAAAGCATGAAGCTGGCCAATTTTTGTCACGTGACTCGCAGTTTTCAACTGGTGCACCTGAAATATATGCGATTCAGATATGTGTGCGCAAGCCAATGTGCCTACATTAGAAATAATGAACTTGTGCGCGCAAAAGACGCAATATGTGAACCGCCCCATAAGCAGCTAAACTTCTCTTCACATTCAGATGATACCTTCACTCCCAATCCTGCACAAAACTTCTATTTAGCCTGTTTAGGCTGTAAGGCCTCAGTGTTTTGGGGTGTTTTATTGTCATAGCATGATTTCTATTCAAGTGCTTGAACAAGTTGCTGGTTGAGTTAAAAGCAGTCGAAATTTCTTTCGAGACTAGACATGAACTGCATTTTACATTAATATTTTTGTTTTTATGCTCAATGAAATGAAAAAAATGTCTATGTTTCATTTCAGCATCCATCCTCCACCAGTTTAAAAGAGCATGCTTGTTAATTGACGATGCAATTGAAAACATTATCTAAAGCATTTTTTTCTTTTACAACTAGATTTGTAACAAACATAATGCACTTGCATTGACTTTAGTAACTGTAATAAAATGACACAAAATTAAAATGTATTTCGTTACATTACTACATTCCTCAAAAATGTAATTAGAATACAGTAACGCGTTACTGTGAAACACATTACACCCAACTCTGCATCTTATGTTGCATATGAAAATTAATTAAATTCCAATACATGTAATACTGGTAAATTAAATGAAATATTGTGCAATTTGAAACAATGATAGATTTAAATATATAATGCAACTACTAAACAAAGTGGCAAATGATGTAAAACTGATCAGATTGCTGAACAGAAAATAATTTTAGCTGAAAATCAGGGTTAAAATTACATATGTAAACACACTTTTGCATAAACAGACAGCAACAAACAGTGATGAACAAAATGAATGCCAAATAAACATTAAAAATAAAGAAAACTGTTTTTTTTAGACTTTAAAATGTAAACCCTGAGCAGAATATTTACAGTTAAAACAATTCAAAACAACCCCTATATAAATCAGTTGTTTATTAGATTTTTTATTTAGTTAATTATTAGATTTGCATGTTGCCTCTGTTTTGCTTTGTGTATGTATTGGCATTTGTGGCGTTGTGGCCATTATTACAAGCAAGAAACAACTCCACACTTGGGGAAATGACTGATGACAGAAAAACAGCGGGCTCTTCCGTGACTTTTACATCGGGACACAGGAACTCTCAGGAGAATCTTGTGAAAGTGTTGAACGTTTCCCCTCTCCGGTATTTAGGAGTCTGTTTAAAACTGCACTGACAACAGCAGCAGATCAAAGGCAGAAGCTGGAGATGGCAAACTGTTAGCCATCTCTCAGCTTATGAATATTTCTGTGGCGGATCGCATATGCAGACGATCCTCCTCGGTGCAACACTTTCTGCCATGTTCTTTAACAAATACATAAACAAACAGATCATTAATTCACAAAACAACAATATAAAGGAGAGAGAAGTGCTGGAGAGAACCTCTGACGCTCCTCTGCAGAATACAAGTCCCTGAGTTCTCGTTAAACATGGTAACGCTCATGAATGATGAATAGCTTCTCTCTGTTTACAATGACCTCATTTCGTCTACAAAAACAACCAAAAATGACCAAAAATACGTAAAAGGTGCAGAAACAAATGTTTCTATTCAAAAGAAACCAAAAAGAGCTACAAAAGATTGATCAAAATAAACACACACCCAAAAGTATTTCTTCAATTCTTCAAAATATCTTAAAAAGTCACAGAGAAATTTGAATTAATTAATATGCATAAAATACAATATTAAAATACAGTTGCAAGCAGCAACTACCAGGGTTCAATAATAAAATAATATAATTAATATAATTAACATTAAATTAAGTACAATTAAAATATAATTAATTATAATTATTTTAGCCATGCAGGTACAGTGAATTGACATATTTTGCAGGGTTATGTGCAATCACGTTTATGTGTATTTTTTAATAATTACAATAATTTATCAATTACAGACATTTTCCAAACGACACTATTAAAGCAATCCAAAGGGGAAAGCTAAACTTTTATTTTGATATTTATTGACCTAGAGAGTCTAGATAGTTGTGCTGCAATAGATTTACAGAGGTTGAAAGTTAAATTAAATTAAATACTATATATATATATATATATATATATATATATATATATATATATATATATATATATATATATATATATATATATATATATATATATAGTGTTAGTTTTTTAAACAATTTTTTTCCCAAACCATCTTTAGAAAAAGTACATGTTTACATTACAATTTAAAGTAAAAAGTGTAAAGGTGTTTAGTATATTGTACAAAATGTTGTACAGTATACAGCAGCTTATATACTTGTAAAATGCTGTATGTTGGCTCTGACTTTTGGCTCACTTTTGGCCCACTTTG